TGGAGCCTGGGGGGAGGGGATGGAGCTTTGGGGGGAAGGGATGGAGCCTGGGGGGAGGGGTTGGAGCCTGGGGGAGGATGGTCCTTGCCACAGGCTCTCCCCTCCCCCCCAGGATGGAGCACAAACGCCGCCCCGCGCCCGGTGCGGAGCTGCCAGGGGCCAAGCGCCCCCGCGGGGCCTGGGCCGAGGAGGACGAGGTGCCCGCGTCCCAGTTTGAGGAGGAGCTGGCGCTGATGGAGGAGATGGAGGCTGAGCGGAGGCTGCAGGAGCAGGAGGAGGAGGAGCTGCACCTGCCCCCCGAGGGCGCCGAGGGTGAGGCCCCTCACCAACCTGACCTGTGCCCCCCAGGGCAGGGGCTGCTCCCAGTCGTGCGCACAGTAGGTGCTGGACCCCCCCCCCCACAGTAGGTGCCAGATGCCCCCAGGGAGTGATCAGGGATGTCTCTGGGCAGAAGAGGCTCTGAAGGTTTCAGTGGACCCGGCTCACTGTGTGTCAGTAACCAGAAAGACCCATGGGTCTTAGAGACAGACCGAGCCCACGCGTGAGGCCGAGAGCCATGCGATGTCCTCTGTGCAGAGCATGGATGGGCTGGAGTCAGGACGGTAGGAGGGTAGAGACCGTGCCATGCTAGTGCGTCAGTCGATCAACATTTATTAAGCGCCTGCTGAGTGCCAGGCACTGTGCCAAGCTCTGGGGACTCAATGAGACACAAAGACATGCTCTGCCTTCAGGGAGCTTACCATCTGACGGGGGAGCTCTCATGCAAGTAAACATACACACGGACACGTGTCTTTGTCCTCTGCGTAAGATGAGCGGGAGATGAGCCACAGGCTGGAATTGGGGGGACGGCCTTGAAGGCAGCCAGGGAGGCCACTAGCAGGAGCGGAGGAGGGAGAGTGATGCAGGCCTGGGGGCGGCCAGAGCACGGCTGGAGCCTGCTGCGGGAGGGGGCGGTCGCGGGAACGGCATTTTGTGTTTGATTGTGGGGGCAGTTGGGAGCCACTGGAGATCGTTGACTAATACGGTCATTCGTGGGCTTTAAGAAAAGCGCGTTAGTGGAGTGGGGAGAGACCTGAGGCAGCAGACCCCCTAGCAGCTACTGCCGTGGTCCAGTCATGAGGTGATGGGGTCTGCACCAGGCTGGGGGCCGTGTTAGAGAAATCTGCAGAGGTGACCTCACGTGCCTTGGCACCGTGTTGGATCTGGGCGTGAAAGAGAGTTGAGGAGCCCGGGATGACTTCTGGGTTCTGAGGCTGGGGGCCTGGGGGGATGGAGGTGCCCTCCACAATCAGAGAGGGTAGAAGGTGGGCAGGGTTTAGGGGAAGAGAGCATGAATTCTGGTTAGGACGTGTCGTGTTTAGAGGTCTGCTGGACATCCAGCTGGAGGTGTCCGAACGGCAGCTGGAGATATGGGCTTGGAGATGCACGGGGAAGTTGGGGCACAAAGGTCGATTTGATTTAAAAGTCATCGGCATAGGGGTGGTCCTTAAATCCATGGGAGGGGATGAGAGCCCCGGTGAAGCTGTGTGGATGGAGAAGAGAAGAGGGCCCAGGACAGAGCCCAAGGCCGCCCCTGGTTAGAGGGCGTGGTCTGGAGGGGATCCAGCCAAGGAGATGGAGGAGGAGCGGTCAGAGAGAGGCTGCAGAGGGGCCCGGAGACTGCGGGCGGAGCAAAGCCACTGGGGACTATGGAGAGGGCGGGGCCTTCTCTGCCCTCCAGACCACGCCCTCTAACCTGGGGTGCCCCAGGGGCTGTCCGGGGCCTGCTCCTCTCTGCTGTCAGCTCCCGGGATTCCGTCGTCGTCTCTGTGCCGATGTCTGCCCCATCTCCGGACCCCCCAGTCCTAGCCCAGCTCCCAAGCTCTTCCCCACGGCCACACGCCCCACGGACATCTCAAACTGGACACTTCGAACCCTGAACTTCTCTCCCCAGACCCAACCCTAGCGTCTGGTCAAGGGCCTTGCTGTCTGCCGGCAACCCTGGCGTCCTCAGCCGTCTGCGCCGCCCCACCCCCCAGCTGTCACTGGATCCCCGTTTCTCACGTGCTGTGGCCGTGTCAGCTCTCACCTGGACGGCAGTGTGGCCTCGGGCGGGCCCCAGGCCTTCCCTGTCCTACAGTCCAGTGGCTCCCATCACGCCCTCCTGGGCGGCCCTCCACTCCCCTCCCCACCCCTGCCTCTTCCATCAGGCTCTTCCTCAGCACCCCACCCACCCAGATGTCCTTGGACGTGTTGTGTGTGGGAGTCAGCGCGGCCCACTGGCTGGGGATGGACGGCTGCCCCGGAGCCTGGCCTCTGGGAGGCTGGAAGGTGTCTGTGGTTGGGTGGCGCGGTCTCCCCACCGGGAGTGCCCTATGTCCGTGAACGTATGTGTGGAGATGCTCTAACATAATTGTCCGTCTACGCCTAGGCCGCTTGGGGGCGCCACAGTGCTCAGAGCGCCAGGCCTGGAGTCAGGAAGACTCCTCTCCCAGAGTTCCAGCCCTGCCTTAGACCCTTACAGGCTGTGTGACCCTGAGCCAATCACTTCACCCTGCTTGCCTCAGTGTCCTCATCTGTAAAATGAGCTGTCAAAGGAAATGGCAAACTGCTCCAGGATCTCTGCCTGGAAAACCCCAGATGGCGTCACTGAATGATAGCAAACGTCTCCAGCTGTTGTTTCCCCCGATAGATGGGAAGCTCCTTGAGGACAAGGATGCTTTCTCTCTTGCCCTGCACCCCGAGCACCGAGCTCGAAACTCTGTGCACATCAGGGACTTAACACGCGCTCGCTGCCTCGAATGCCCTTTGTCCTGGAGAAGAGGCATGGGCCCGGAGAGGCAGTGAGTTCCCCATCACCGGAGGTGTTTGAGCAGAGGGTGGCACGGCTTCCCTCGCCGCAGAGCCGTTGTCTTCATCTTCCAGGGCAGTTCTCCCCATCCGCCCGGGACGCTCGCTGGCTGCGGCCCGCCCGGCCGGGCCTGGATCCCAAGACGCAGGCCCTCGTCTTTCAGCAGCTTGAGATCGACCACTACGTGGGTGAGTTGGGGGGAGGCGGCTGGCGGGGCGGCCCCTGGCCCGGCCTCTCTCCCTGAGCTCAGCTGCCCCCACAGGCTCCCCGGTCCTGCTGCCGGCCCCCGGGGCCCCTGAGGCTGTCCCCATCCTGCGGGCCTTTGGAGTCACGGACGCCGGAGTCTCCGTCTGCTGCCACGTCCACGGCTTTGCCCCCTACTTCTACGTCCCCGCGCCCACTGGTGAGTGACCGTCAGCGCCCGGTGCCCGGCTGACCCGCGAGCATAGGACGTTTGGGGCAGATCACCCGCTGACTCGGTGACCGTGCCCCCCCCAGGCTTTGGCCCCGAGCACCTGGGGGACCTGCAGCGAGAGCTGAACTCTGCCGTGAGCCGGGAGCAGCGAGGGGGCAGGGAGTTGAAGGGCCCCGCTGTCCTGGGGGTGGAGCTCTGCACCCGCGAGAGTGAGTGCCGTAGGGAGAGGGAGGGCGGGGGGGGGCCCCTGTTTGGGGACGCCCCCACTGTCCCCCCCCCCCCCCCCCCCAGGCATGTACGGCTACGTGGGTCGGGGCCCCTCGCCCTTTCTGCGGGTGACCCTGGCCCTGCCTCGCCTCGTGGCCCCCGCCCGGCGCCTGCTGGAGAGCGGCATCCGGCTGCCCGGCCTCGGCTCCCCCAGCTTCCAGCCCTACGAAGCCAACGTGGACTTTGAGATCCGGTGAGTGGCCGCGCCCCGGGCCCTGCCTCAGCGTTGTTGCCATGGTACCGCGGGCGCTCTCCCCCTCCCCGTGGGTGCTGAGCCTTTCCTGCCAGCAGGCCGGGCGCCTTCCCCGGGTGAAGCTGGGGCTGGACGTGCTCTCAGTCCTCAAGGGACCCCTGGGACCCAGGGAGGGACGAGGGTGTGGCCAGAATGCAGTGAGCCCTGGGGACAGAGGAGCCGAGGCCCCCGGCCCGCCCCCAGGCGGCCGGTTGGATCCTGCCCCCATGCCCCCAGGTTCATGGTGGATGCCGACATAGTGGGATGCAACTGGCTCGAGCTCCCCGCGGAGAAGTACCAGCTGAGGACGGAGGGGAAGGTGAGGCTGCTGGGCCCTGGGGGGAAGGGTGGGGCCTGGCCGTGGGCGGGTGCTGTCTGGGCTCCTGCCGAGCGCCTCGCTTGCTCCCCAGGCCACGCTGTGTCAGCTGGAGGCGGACGTGCTATGGTCAGATGTGGTCAGTCACCCTCCGGAGGGGCCGTGGCAGCAGATCGCGCCCCTCCGCGTGCTGAGTTTTGACATCGAATGTGCTGGCAGGAAAGGTCTGGGCCCTCCACCGACCCAGGGGTGGGAGAATGCAGGGGCTGGCCCCGTGAAAGAGGCTTGGCCTCAGGGGACTGGCTGGGGCGGAGGCGGGACCCGGGTTCAGATCCCGCTTTTCCTATCTGCGGAGTGGCGGTAGCAGTGAAACTGAAGTTTACCCGGCGCTTTGAGCTTTGTGCAGCACTAGCACCCCACAGGTGTGGTCTCGTTTGGGCCTCGCAGCACCCCTCGCAGCGGGGGCTGTTATCGCCATTTTACAGATGAGAGAAACTGAGGCAGGTTCTGACCTCATTGCGCCTAGCCCCTGGTGATGCCTCACTCACCTGCGAGATCATAAGACCCTGGGTGATAGGCCTACCCTTGGCGCCCCACAGGCATCTTCCCGGAGCCCGAGCGAGACCCCGTGATCCAGATCTGTTCTGTGGGCCTGCGCTGGGGGGAGCCAGAGCCCTTCCTGCGCCTCGCCCTGACGTTGCGCCCCTGCGCCCCCATCCTGGGCGCTCAGGTCCTCAGCTTTGAGCGCGAAGAAGACCTTCTTCAGGTGACCTGTTGCCTCTGGGTTGGGTATGCCCTGGGGGCGGGCACTGCCGTGGTCCTGGGGCCTTGGGTGGTGGGCCAGCCTGAAGCCTCTTTGCCTGGATCCCGGCAGGCCTGGGCCTCCTTTGTGCGCACCATGGATCCCGACGTCATAACCGGCTATAACATCCAGAACTTTGACCTCCCGTATCTCATCTCCAGGGCGCAGACCCTCAAGGTGATCACAGCAGCAGCTGGGCCCTGGGGGCGGGCGGGCTGCTCAGCCACCCCCCCCCCCCCCCCCCGCCCCCTCCCCGCACACTCCGGCCCACCCACAGAAATCCTGTCCTCCTCACCCCCTGCTAGGTCTTGCTTCGCGAGCACAAGCTTCGCTCCTATACCCTCAATGCCGTCAGCTTCCACTTCTTGGGAGAGCAGAAGGAGGACGTGCAGCATAGCATCATCACTGACCTGCAGGTGACCCCGAGCTCCCCTGGCCCCGCCTTCCCCTCCACATCCTTCCCCTTCCTCCTTCATCCCTCCTGCCGGCCCCCCAGTCACCTCTCTGTCCTTGCCCCAGAACGGGAACGACCAGTCCCGCCGCCGCCTGGCCGTGTACTGCCTGAAGGACGCCTTTCTGCCCCTTCGGCTTCTTGAACGCCTCATGGTCCTGGTCAACGCCGTGGAGATGGCCAGGGTCACGGGCGTCCCCCTCGGCTACCTGCTCACCCGGGGTCAGCAGGTCAAGGTCGTATCCCAGCTACTCCGGCAGGTCAGCCTGGGCCCCTGTAGAGACACTTATCTTTTCCTTCTGAGTCCATACTCAGCCTTGGACTGCCCCCCCCCCAGGGGATCTGCTGCCCTCATCCGTGCCTCACATCCCTGGGTTCCTTCCGTTCCCTACCCTCAGGTCCCCCAGGTTCTAGCCTCCATGCCTAATCCCAAGGTTACATCCTCTGGGTTTCATTCCTGATTCCAAGATTCCAGCCTCCATGTTCTGTTTTCCATCCCTGGATTCCAGCCTCCATCCATGTTTTGTCCTCCTTCCCCGGGTTCCAGCCTCCATCCGTGTTTTGTC